TATAATCAGACAATGGAGAACACATAATTCTTCCAATTTGCATTGCTATCAAACACAATGAATAAATGCACCTTGGCATGAAAATCTATGATCACCCGCCTCTAAGACACACACACACTCTCTGCAGAAAAAATCTCTAGGTAACCACATTCCTCCATTGTGCAGGTAATGAAGCTTACATTGCTCAGTGTTTTCCACCTCCATTGCTTCTAGTGCCAAGCATTCTACTTCCTAGAACAATAGCTTCAGCCTGGAAAACCAAGATGTTATTGGAGATGGCTATTATTCTCTATGACCAGACCCACCACATGTACATGATTAAAAAAAAAATCTAAACTGATCCCATACATTTTATGTCAAACTAAACGTTTTCTTAGTTTTGGATAGAATGGGAAAAGGTTAGAACCTCTGGATCCTTACCACCATATGGGACTCCTCACTTCCTGTCCAATGGACAACATTTTACCAGACAGGAAGTGAGGGGAACTCTCTAAGAGCAACATAGACAAAAGTAAAAATGCAGAGTAGGGGAAGGCTTGGGCCCTTGTGAGGGTTTTTTTCTGTCCATTTCCCTGTTCCATATTTTCTCTTCAAGTGTGGCAAAAATGATGTTACCAGGACAGACAATGAGAGGAAATATCTCTAACTGAGCCCTTGATAACAGTAAAACCCAGAGAGGGTTTTTAATCCTGCCCCACTCTATCCAAAACTAAAACAAACATGTATGGCTTGAGATACTCTTTAAGCAAACTTCCCAACAAATGCATGTAACTAATCTTGTTACATGATAAATATAGCATTTCTGTCTTCAACGAGGGCTGCTCCTGACTTAGTCCTTTTTTACAGTATTTAAGTCATGTAAATAAGGTACATTTGGAACTTCAGTAAAACATCTGTTCATTCTTAAAGTAGAAACTCTGGTTTACATTGATTCCAGGGGGTTATTGTAAGCCCCTAGCTTCTCATCTCATCTGCCATAACTTCTCTCACTTGGTTTTGTGTTGGGAAATGTAGTAACACATTCATGTCTATTCACTAAAGGGTGAAGTGTTTGGAGAAGGCAGGAGAAGTGAAAAATCTAGGCCAAAATAGCTGATTTGGAAAAATTCTCCAATTCAGCCTTCTCCAAACTCTCCACCCTTTAGTGAATAGACCTGATTGTCTTAATTTCTATTTCCCTGGAGGCTTTCACTTAAAGGAGAACTATGAGGTGAGTGATTTTCACTCATCCTCATAGTTCTAGCCGACCTGTGAAAATGAAACTGTCACAGGTCGGCTCAGTAGATCAGGAAGTGAGCGAACGCATACCGGCATTCGCTCACTTCTCGATCCTGTCACGGCAGAGAGCCGTGACAGGGTAGGGACTGGATTCCCCGCTCCGATCCTCCAGCGCTGATTGGCGGTACGAACGGGGGATGGGGGCGGGTACAGCTGGCTCTTCCTCTGTCACTCACGCAGCTGGGCGGATCTAGACATAATTGTCGGGATCCGTTTCAGCTGCGGCGTCTCAGTAGCTCGCGGTATACTAAGCTTAGAGCAGGGGTGGCAAACACAAGGCCCGCGGGCCGAATCCGGCCCGCCGGACCTTGTAATGTGGCCCGCACAGCGCTGCCTGCTGTCAGGATGGCGGAGCGGTGAGGGGGAGAGAAGCCGCGCCCGCAGCTGTCAGGATGGCCGAGCAGGTAGGAGATCGGAGCCGCTGTCATCCTGTCAGTTTCAGGATGACAGCGGCTCTGTGCGAGGCTGAGTGGAGGATCGGTAAATATCAGTGATATTTACCGTTCCAAGTTTCCCCAAATGTAAAGTTACAAATAAAAAATAATTAGATTTTTTTTTAAAGTCTCCCCCATGCAAACAGGCGTCGGGTGCGCATACGTGTGAAAACGACGATTTCGCCCATTACGCCGCACATGTTACATATCGCTGCGAACGTCGAACGGGAGGACGCTAAATTGTGTCCTCCCGTTACCCTTAGGAGAACTATGGGGAAAAGCCCTAACCCCATAGTTCTCCTTTAACAAGCTGCATGCAAATTCAGAAGCTAGATGGGTCAGCCAGGTCTAAGAAATTGGAAGATATCAGTTGGCAAAAACCATCAGTTGCAACATTGAGGCATGCTCAATTTCTTCCCAAAGTGTTCCCTTAAAACAGGGGTCAGCAACCTTAAATACTCAAAGAGCCATTTGGACCCGTTTGCCACAGAAAAGAAAACACCGGGAGCCACAAAACCCTTTTGACATCTAAAATGTAGACATCACTGCATATATTGTTTTTTACCTTTATGCTATGTATATGTATATGCATGTATATAGGTATATGTGAGCTTAGTAATGCACTGGACTCTGGGCTTACCAGAGACCCCGCAGAGCCCACCTGAGAGTGACCCTGCAGAGCACACCATAGATCCTGCACAGCCCATCCAGGACTCTCTATGGTGGGCTCTGCAGGGCCTCAGGTGGACTGGTCGCCGGGGTCCCTTTCCCTGTATCTCTTCCCAACATCTCTTACCTGCTGCTGCTGTGGCCTGGCCTCTTCCACCCCCTCCCCTGTCACCTCTGCCATGCCCCCCCTGGTACAGCTGATACTCATGTAAGAGGCCCCCCAGGCTGCCCACACCCCTCACATGGGTACCGGCCGTACCCGTACACATACTACTCCTCTCCCGCCTCCTGTTACTAGGGATGCAGCCGGGAGAGGAGGTGAATCACAGGACCTGCCCCCTTGCTGAGAAGCTCGTCAGCAGTGCGGGGCAGCGGGACCCAGCACTGCTGCATATTCCACTAGGGGGTGGCCCAGCACTGGACCTCACTGGGCCCCCCCCACAGCCTCAGGACCCGATGGTAGTTCCGCCCCTGGACAGGGAGCCGCAGCAGAGGGATGAAAGAGTCACATGCGGCTCCGGAGCTGCAGGTTGCTGACCCCTAAACCAATTGGTCCTCATCTAAGTGTCAGACTGCTGTTGGATCAAGGGTAGAATTTCCCCTTTGTACTCCGCTGAAGTCACAATAGTGAACAAACTCATTGTTCAAACATTTACAGTTCAGGTTGGAAAAATTGCCAACCCCTGTTTTTAAGAACTTTTAGAACCTCATTTAGCAGCAATAACCAAATGCAATTTGTTCAAATGTATCTAAAACCACATTTGTATTGCCTGTTTTGGACTAAGTGTGGAAGGGTTACAACTGTGCCAGACTTCTATTGCTCTGTTTGCCTTTATTGGGAAAAAGAAAATTGACCCTCTATTTATCCTGCTGATCATTGTCAGTGGGAGAGGAAGTAATGGAAAATCCCACAAATTGCTGCTGTTATTGGGACAGGTGAAGGTAAATCTTTTAATGGGGATACCTGTTTCAGTGGTATTTTTTTCTAAGGGATTTCACCTCACTTTTTGGGGATTTCCTCTTACTTTCTGTTGTGTCTCAGGGACTGGAGTTCAGCTTTAAGAGGAGTCTGCCTCCTGAATTTCCATGGATCACATTAAAATCAATCTCCAGCCAAACACTTTGTTTTGAATATGGTTGAGGAGAGTTAAAATCTCTTTCTGGTTTTTATTCCTCTCTGTGTCAGGAAGATTTCTGCATTTTTCCACTTCCCATGGCATAGGGTTGAAAAAGTTATTGGAAAGCTTACCAGTGGAGGGAGACAGCAGAGTGAAGAGAAGGTTTATAACCTCTTTCAGGTCTTTATTGGTGGCTGTTTTCCTATTAGGGAGATTTCCTATCTCCTAATGCTTCAGTGATATGGGGTAAGAGAGATAGGAAGTGATGGAAAATGTCTTCAAAGACAGAGACAGCAATACAGTGGAGATGGGAAAGGTTTGAGTATCTGTAAGGTTTTTCATTGCTACCTGTGTCTTCCTGCTATGGTGACCCGTCCCCCTAATTCCTTGTCATGGTATCACAGGGGTAAAAAGGGCAAATCTGTGCAGCACAGTGGTGTAGTGGTTAGGGGTTCTGCCTTACAGCATGGGGGGTCCTCAGTTCAAATCCTGGCCAGGATCACTACCTGCAAGGAGTTGGCAAATAAAATTAGGAGCTGATTGTGATCTAGGACTCACCTAAATAATCTATTTAATTTACAGTATATCAGATCAGGTCACCCTTTTTGCTATATAGTTGCAAGTAAATCCAAAAGAGAGTGTATAACCAGATTGCAAGGTGTGCAGTTGGGTGAATTTACTTTCGTATATCGCACAGATTGTGATTACCTTTACATTATTTTACTGATTGATGGGTAGACAATGGGCACTTAGAAATCAAAGGGACCCATGAATTAGTTTTAACCTCTGCATACATATAGGGATTATCCTGAAACCATTGTTGGTTTAGCAATCGGAATGTCATTTGGCATGTCTGACCTTTCGTGTAACTTTACTTCGAGATACAGAAGCTTAAATATAAAGCTGCTCCCAAAAACCCTACTTTTTTAGTCTTTAATAGTCACTATATCAATTAATAGTAGATTTTTGGTCTCCTTTTGCAGCTTAGATTATATCATTTTCTGCTTTTCTTCTATCCAAAGAACACTTGTTGGGCATCCATCACAGTCTCTGTACACAGTAAATATTTTAAACTTATTTATATCTACCTGTAACTACTAGTGTAAAGTAGGTCAAGAAACCTGATCTGATTAGGTTTCACTGGGCTCACTGGTGATTAGAGATAAATGAAGACATGATGAGACATTCCTATCGAGCCACAGGAAGTGACAGTGGCAGCTGGCTTGGAGTTGAGCTGTACTTGTGTGTTCAGCAGTTCCATGAACAAGTGTTTTGGCACTCTCTGAAAGCAACTTCAGCTCACTTAGCCTGAGGAACAACATGAACAGAAGACAAAAGTTCTCCTCAAGGTCTATATTTTTTTATCCATTACACAAGCAAACCCTCTTCCTCCTAAGTCAACCATTTTTTCTGTTCCAATGGTTTGTCATCACTGTGAATACCAAAGAAAGCTGGACCTAAGAAACATTTAACCCTCAATAGACCTTCTTTTTGGTCAGCCATGGGAACTATATTCTCTAGTCAGATGTCCAAGAAAAAGAAAACTGGTGGACATGAATTGCAAGAAGAGCAAGCACTGCCTAATCCATTACCTGATTCTGATACAAAAGCAACAAAAGAGCCAATAAACTTCAACTATGTCTTACAGGATGCTGCTGAGGTCCCCAGCTTCATTTGGCACATGACTAAAATTGAAAAGCTTAATCTGTCTCACAACAGGCTGCCCAAGCTTCCTTCTACAGTTGCCAAACTGGAACAAATAGCAGTTCTTAATGTAAGTGGTAACAGAATTGTTCACCTTCCCAGGGAAATTGGTCTGTTGAAGAACCTCAAAGTTCTTTTTGTCAACATGAATTATCTGTGTGAGATGCCTGAGGAGTTGAGTTTTTGTAGAAAGTTAGAAGTCCTCAGCCTGTCACACAATTTCATATCAGAACTTCCTGCAACATACAGTGGCCTCTCTAAGTTAAGGAAGCTAAATCTAAGCAATAACTGGATAGTTAACATCCCCTCATGTGTCTTCCAAATCAAGACTCTGGATTTTCTGCACCTGGGAGCAAACAAAATAGAAAACATTGCAGAAAGTATTAAATGTCTACAGAACCTAACAATTCTGATTATTGACAATAACAGGATCAGTGTGTTACCTCGATCTGTTTGTTTATTGACCTCCTTGGAACTCCTAAATTTGGATTATAACAACATACAAATACTTCCAAATGACCTGTTCTTATTAAGAAGACTACAACGAATTGCGTGGAACCCAGTCGACAAAGGTCTACATATTCAAAACAATCCTTTAGTGAAGCCCTTATCAGAGGTTGTAGAAGGTGGAATAGATATGCTGTTCAGTTATCTTAAAGACATAAAAAAAATAAACTGAATACTAATTATATTTAAATATTCTGAGAAAGTAAGAACTGTAACTTGTCTAACTGGCATGCAAATACAGAAAAATATTATTCATTATACAAGGTTTCCATTTAGAATTGTTGGGCAAATGTGCCATCTCATATGTGTGTAGTTTTCAAACATAATGGTATTTACTATTTTTAGTGTGATTGTATTGAATCATTTTGAAAAAGTATTTTATGTAAATATAGGTAAATGTGTAAAATTCAGATTGCAGAAACCACGACAGAGCATATAAATTATTAATAAGAGCTTAAACATTTTATATTTAACAGAAGATGTTTAATGTTTCAGTTTGATACTATTTTACAAAAAATGTACAGTATCTCACAATTTATGGTGAAAATAAATGCTTTAAATAACAAGGTGGATGTATAAATAGTGGAAATAAGAAAACTGGATTTGCTGCCCACCTCAACCAGTCTAACAGCAGCCATCATATTTGTAGTGCAGGTTATACAATCAAAGCTTTTTGTGATATAATTTTTATTTGTTCATTTTGTAGTAAAATAACATGATATTGAGTCAGTCATACATGTCATATGAATAGGGTTTCGTTGTTGGATGTACTGTAGTGCCACCTGCTGGATAAACTCCTTATTGCCTTTTTATGGTAATGCTATACGAAAGAAACCCCTGCTCAGATAACATGGAGGTTGCTCTTCTGCATATATAAAACTGCTAGTTGCCTGGCTATCCTGCAGATCTAATTAAGTGCTGTTTCATTCACTGCCCCTGAACAAGTTAGTAGATCTGATCTTTGCTTACTGCACATGTGCTCTTGGCCAGTGATCCAGAAAACACTAAAGATAGACACGACAGGCCACTTATATTTTCAGAAAGTCATCAATGACAGGTTACATATTTCTCTCAGTACAGTTTTCCTTTATACTGAGATAAGTATGTAGGCTGCCACTGCTGGCCTTTCCCTCTGAAAATACCAGTAGCCTGGTTTACATCAATATATATAAAAATGTAAACTGTGCTTAAATTTGCAGCTACATTGCCCTCATATATGAACATACAACATGTGAAAGTAAAATTATATATATTCATGCAGTGTTTAAACATTGATTATTATCATCCAAAAAAGTCTATCACCAAGTGTGATATAATGAAACAACTTTATTTGACGTGTGTTCAATAATCTTTCACTAGTTCACTTTCAAAATATCATATCCATGCATGTATCTTTGTGCTTCCCTTCTTCCGATGCACCAGTGTGTCCACAAGAAAAAATTACCTCACTCACCAGATGCCTGTGACCATCTGAATCATGGATGGTCTAATATAGCATAAAGCAACCAACTCCCCTTCCCTTTTCTCAGTCACCTCTTCCGATATGCAATCCATTCCTCTCCAACTCCAACATCTCCAATAATTCATACAAGTGCCATCCTCATAAGAATTGCTCCATTCAGAGGTTTTCATAGGTGCCAGTAAAGCTTAAAAAAAAAGTGTTGGCAAAAATTCATAGTTACATAGTATTTGAGGTTGAATAAAGACACATGCCCATCAAGTTCAACCTATTTTGTGTATGTTTTGGATTCTGCATGTGTACAGGTGAAACTCGAATAATTAGAATATCGTGCAAAGTTCATTTATTTCACTAATGCAACTTAAAAGGTGAAACTAATATATGAGATAGACTCATTACATGCAAAGCAAGATAATTCAAGCCGTGATTTGTCATAATTGTGATGATTATGGCTTACAGCTCATGAAAACCCCAAGAACCCCAAATCCACAACCTCAAAAAAGTAGATTATTACATGCAATCAATAAAACAAGGATTGTACATAGAACAATATCGGACCTCTGAAAAGTACAAGCATGCATATGTACTCAGTACTTGGTTTGGGCCCCTTTTGCAGCACTTACTGCAATTACTTTTGCACGATATTCTAATTATTCAAGTTTCACCTGTATAGTGTAGTATAATAAAAAAAATCTTTATTAAAAAAGATTAAAAACACTTACAAAACAAAGGGCAATTTGGGATTCAAAACCACCGTGCTGCAATAGCAGTATCTCACTCGTTTCCCTATGGGCGTAATGACCACAGCATGGGCCTGCCTGTCTGCCTGGTGACGAAACATGTTGACATGCTCCATGCTGAAGTCATTACGTCCATAGTGAAATGACTGAGACACTGGAGAGGAGTATTGCAGTGCGGTGGGCATTACTGTGTGCAATATTAAGGTGCCTTGCCACTAGGAATGCACCGATACCGGTATTTTGGTACCGAGTATGAGTACCGATAATTTTTTTCGGTACTCGCCGATACCAATTACCAAGTAACGGAAGTCCCATTCAGGAAGCCAGGTGGCGTGTAATGACTCACCACCTGGCTTCCTGATTAGCCCGGGAAGCAGGGCAGCATGTAAAGACTCGCCACCCGGCTTCTCGATTTACAAGAAAGTCCCCTCTTACCTTAGTATGTGCAGCCTGTCACCCCCGGGGCCTCTCCAGCGAGAACACAGCCTTCCTCCTGTACCCAGCCGAAGCCGTCTGGCCGGCCAATCAGGAAGCTGGGCGACGTGTAATGACTCAATGCCCTGCTTTCTGATTGGCTGCACATACTAGGGTAAGGTAACCTTGCCTCACAAGGCCAGCTTCCTGATTGACCAGCTTCCTGACCAATCAAGAAGCCGGGCAGCGTGTCATTACACGCTGCCCAGCTTCTTGATTGGCTGGGAAGTCGGCTCCATGCTCTTTTATCACAAGTGACAAGGGAGCATGGAGCCAATTCCCGGCCAATTGGGAAACTGGGCAACATGTAATGACGGGCTGCCTGGCTTCCTGATACCGGAAGTACTCATGCTAGGCATCGGAGCATTTACTCATGCTAGGCATCGGAGCAAATACTCAGGATCAGCACCGATATCGATAATAGTATCGGTGCATCCCTACTTGCCACGCACTTTATCAAGGTGCCTTTCCTCATGCATTAACTAAACTCTTACTATGTGCATTACCAAGGCAATGTACCATTACCACATGACTCCTCCTTTACATGTGCAATACTTAGGTACCTTATCACATGCATTATCTAAACCTCTTCCAAAGTGTATTTTTAAAGAGGTTTACCATTACCACATGCATTATCAAGGCACCTTACTAAGGTGCCTTACCATGTACATTTTCAAGGTTTTTCAGCTTCCACTATTGTGTTGCCTTACCACTTGCATTATGAGTGTGACTTACCATATTCATTACCCAGGTGCCTTGCCGCATGCATTGCCAAGGTACCTTACAACATGTGTATTATCAAGATTCTGTTAATCATCAAGGTGCCTTGTCACAAACAATATAACGTTGCTTTACCTTGTGCATTATTATGCAGCAAGAAAGTATGCAGGTCTGGAATTCTGACTTTGTAGACTTAATGCTTGTGCCATGTCAGTGACTTAGAAACAGCCAGACACCTTGCATTTTCAGAAGAAGTTCAGCAGTTGCATCCTACATACTGTATTATTCCTAGCACAGGTTTCCTTTTTAAAGGAGAACTATGGGGTTAAGGCTTTTCCCCATAGTTCTCCTTTAGGGTGACGTCCTCCCGTCACCCTAAACTCAGTATACCGCGAGCTATAGCTCGCGGTATACTGAGACGCCACAGCTGAAACAGATCCCGACAATTATGCCAGGATCCGCCCAGCTGCGTGACTGACAGCTGGCTATGCCTATCTAGAGGCAGAGCCAGCTGTACCCGCCCCCTCCCCCATCCGTTCCGCCAGTCATCGCTGGCGGATCGGAGCGGGGAGAGGGGAATCCAGCCCCTCTCCTGTCAGGGCAGAGAGCTGTGACAGGATCGAGAGGTGAGCGAACGCCGCTATGTGAACGTCGCTCACCTCCCAATCTACTGAGCTGACATCTATGAGGTGAGTGAAAAGCACATTATGATAATGTTTGAATTACCTTTATCATATCACAAGCTCTGTACCAGATCTACCATAAAGTGTGTTTTGTCCTTCAACCAATAATAGATTAGATTTGTATGTAAAAACCCTATTTAGACTGTTGCTATTGTTTATGTATTACTATGTTTTTATGATAATAGCCAACATTCTTTCATAACGACTATTATATGAGACTACAATAGAATTGCTTTGACTTTTCATATGCAAACAGGTACTTTTCTGTGAGTTTATTCGCTACTTTCACATAGATACCTGTAAATCTCCACATACAGTAACATTTTATTTCATATTTCCTGGTCTTTAAGTTGTGTGTAATATAAAATGTATCTTTAATTCACTGACATGGAGAAGAGCTAATCATTTCTCACTGGACACCAATACAACACACTGGACACATTCTAAAATTGTTTAGTTTATAACCGCAATCAATTTAAATTATGTTTTTACAGCTTCTTCAAGATATAAGCTTTCATTTACTCAGAGTTTTATGGTACTAATTTTCTTTTATTATGACCTTTAAGGAATATTTATACTTGTACTCAGATAAAAGCTAAAGCTGTTTGAGAACCCATATTTTCTATTGCCAGCTGCTAAGGTTATATTTAATTGAGTGTATGACATTGTACATGGAGAAAAAGACATTTATGCATATCGAATTTTAATTTTTTTGCAGCTTTCAAAGATTTTCTTTGTGATATTAAGTTAAAGCCCAATTGAAATCTCATACCTTTTTGTCTCCCTTGTCCCGTACCTTTGCATGTTAAGATTTGAAACTGCCGTTGTTAGGAGGCAGGAGCAGTAATTTGCAGGCCCCTCTCATCCTTGTTCCTCTCTCCTCTCAATGTCCTCCCTGCCCCAAACTGAATACTGCTTTTCAACCTCCCCTCCTCTTTCTCTTTCCTGCTTTGCCCCTCGGGGCTCTTGCCGTATTCACCTTACCCTCAGATTGCATACTTCTATATAGTTGAAATGTTACAGTGCTAGGGGCTCAGTGCCCATCCTGGGTCTAGTGGTCCGGTTACCACGCCCCATGGGAGGGTGCTAAGATGGG